TACATACATACATACATACAACATTCGCCAAATTATAGTAAGATATTCAGTTGATATTGCATCAAATTATGCATCTGCCGGGAATCGAACCCTGGGCCGCCCGCGTGGCAGGCGAGCATTCTACCACTGAACCACCGATGCTGACTGTTGTTTTAGTAATTCCTTACATTCAGTGAAATATTGATATATAAACTGAATTTTTTCTGAACTATTCAGTTGATAATGCATCAAAACATGCATCGGCCGGGAATCGAACCCGGGCCGCCCGCGTGGCAGGCGAGCATTCTACCACTGAACCACCGATGCTGGCTGTTATTTTAGTAATTCCTTATATTTGGTGAAATATTGATATATAAACAGATTTTTCTCAAAATATTCAGTTGATAATGCATCAAAACATGCATCGGCCGGGAATCGAACCCGGGCCGCCCGCGTGGCAGGCGAGCATTCTACCACTGAACCACCGATGCTTGTTGCTGTTTTAGTAATTCCTTACATTCACTTAAATACCGATATATAAACACATTTTTGTTGAAATATTCAGTTGATAATGCATCAAAACATGCATCGGCCGGGAATCGAACCCGGGCCGCCCGCGTGGCAGGCGAGCATTCTACCACTGAACCACCGATGCTGGTTGCTGTTTTAGCAATTACTTATATTCAGTTAAATAAACACATTTTTGTTGGAATATTCAGTTGATATTGCATCAAAATCTGCATCGGCTGGGAATCGAACCCGGACCGCCCGCGTGGCAGGCGGAGCATTTGCGTTACACTGGAACCTACCGATGCTGGCTCTGTTATTTTAGTAATTCCTTATTTTTCGTAAATTTAGGAGTATATAATGAGCCAGAGTTTATGGGTTGAAATATTCAGTTGAACAATGCCATCAAAACATGCATCGGCGCGGAATCGAACGGGCCGCTCTGCGTTGGCAGGTCCGAATCATCTACCATCTGAACCACCGATGCTGGTTGATCGTTTAGCAATTACTGATATTCAGCTTCAATATAGAACATTTTGTTGGAATATTCAGTTGATATTTTCATCAAATCTCTGCCATCTCGGCTTGATCGAACCCGCGGCCGCCCGCTGTTGCCAGTGCGAGCATTGTCTACCACTTGAACCTATGTCTTGATGCTGGCTGTTATTTTAGTAATTTCTATATTTTGGTGAAATATTGTATATAAACAGATTTTTGTCTCAAATATATTCATTTTATGCATTCAAAACATGCATCGGCGGAATCGATACCGGGGTGTTCGCGCCCGCCCGTGGCAGGCAGCATCTACACTGGAACCACGATGCTGTCTGTGTTTTAGCTATTCCTTTACATTCGTTTAAATACTGATATATAAATAAATGTTTTTGTTGGAATATGCATGTTGCATAATGCATTCAAACATGCATCGGCCGGTAATCGTCAGACCCGGGTCGCGCCGTGCAGGCCGAGCTATTCTAGCCACTGAACCACCGATGCTGTTGTCTGTTGTTTAGTATATAGTGTCCTTATATTTACTGAAATAGCGTGATATATGAACAATTTTTGTGAAATATGCAGTTGGATAATGAATCAAATTTTGTCATTCGGCTGGGAATTCAAACTGTGCCGCCCCGGTCCGTCGTGGCAGGCGAGCCATTCTGACCATAGCTGAACCACCGATGCTGGCTCGGTTGTTTTTAGTAATCCTTATTATTTCGGTGAAATATTGATATATAAACTGGTTTTGTCTAAATTATTCGTTCATAACTGCCATCAAAACATGCATCGCGCGGGATATGGAACCCGGGCCGCCCTCTCGCGTGCAGTGGAGGCATTCTACCCACTGAACCACCGATGCTGGCTGTTATTTTTTAGGTAATTCCTTATTAGTTAGTGGAGAGATAGTCCGTATATTGAGACAATTTTTGTGATACAGTATTCTATGTTGATTAGGAATGAATTCTAAATTCTGCATCGCGCTGGCAATCAAACTCGGGCCTCCGGCGGCGTAGCATTTCTACCACTTGAACCACGCGCATTGCTGGCTTGTTGTTTAGTAATTCCTTATAAATTTCGTGAAAATATTTGAGGTATATATAACTGGTGTTTTTGTCGAAATATTCATGTGCATAATGCCATCAAAGACAGGCATCGGCCGGAATCGAACCCTGCCGCCGCCCGCGTGGACAGGCGAGCATTCTACCTCGACTGAACCCCGTGTCCGATGCTGGTTTGACTGTTTATCAATTACTTATATTCAGTTAATAATAAGAACAAATTTTGTTGAATATCAGTTGATTATTGATCATAAATCTGCATCGCGGGAATCGAACCGGCCGGCCCCTCCGCTCTCCACGTGCCCAGGCGAGCTCTACACTGATAACCGACTGATGGCTGGCTGTTATTTTAGTAATTCTTTATTATTTGGTGATAATATTGTATATAACAGCATTTTTCTCAAAATATTCATTTGATAATGCCATCAAAACATGCATCGGCCGCGCCGAATCGAACCCGCCTGGCCGCCGCGTGGCCAGTTGCGAGCATTCTACCACTGAACCACGATGCTTGCTGTTGTTTTAGCTTCTTAACATTCAGTTATAACACCGAATATAGTAAAAAATTTTTGTTTGGAATATTCAGTTGATAATGCATCAAAACATGCTCGTCGGGAATCGAACCCGGGCTCGCCTGCGCCGTGGGCAGGCTCGCATTCTACCACTGAACCACCGATGCTGGCTGGTTGTTGTAGTAATATCCTTATATTTAGGGAAATAGCGATATTATGAACAATTTTGTGAAATATTTTAGGTTGATAGATGAATCATAATTGCTGCATCGGTGGGAATCGAACTCGCGGGCCTGCCCGCCGTTGTCAGGCGATGCCCATTCTACCACTGAACAACTCGTGTCTGGCTCCCCCCGTTGTTTTTAGTAATTCCTTATATTTCTGTGAAATATTGATATATAACTGGTTTTTTGTCTAATATTCAGTTCATAATGTGCATCAAAAATGCATCGGCGCCGGAATCGAACCCGGGCCGCCGCCGGGCAGTTCGCGAGCTTCTTTACCGACTGAACACGTATTGGCGCTGACTGTTGTTTTAGCAATTTCGCTTATATTCTCGTTTTAGAATATATAAACAATTTTTAGCCTTCACCTTTACATCGTCAAGCTGCAGCTATTGCCATGGTCGTCGTCCGTAGTACGCCGTCCGTCCGTCCGTTCCGTCCGCTCGTCCGTCAACATTCGCCTTCGCTGTCAACGATAACTCAGGAACTGTTTTACCCACATAGTTTGAATTGGGTATAGTTGTTACTGCTATGCTCCCATATGGATACGTCCTATTTTGGAGCACGCCTAGTCGCGAGTACTTTCTGAGCCACGGTCCGCCGCGCGGGCGGGTGGGGTCGGGCTCCCCTGGGGTGCGCGGCAGCCAATTTTTGGCTCAAAAATTGGCGAATTGTGCACTAATCAGTTCGAGGTTCAATGGATTTTTGCTCATTTTTTGTTAGTGGTGAATGCAATAAGGGACTAGCGTTTTGATTATTTTAAAAAAAAATGAAGAGAATTTGAGATAGGTTTTGCAATTATATGCAACAAAACGCAGATAACAAACAGTCTGTAGCTGTCACACTGTCTGGTCGTTTATACAAGATTTTCATTGACAATATCTTTAATGCCAAAATTGGTATTTCCTCTCTCATCCCGCGATCGTGAGAACGTCTAAATATTAGGGAGTAAAGTTGACATGAAAACATGTCGGAAAATGCCAGCATGAACCTTTTAATTTAGTTTCCGAACTGCCATCGGCTTACAAAGCGGGTATATAGACGCTCAGTGTACTGTCACAAATTGTGATTCATTTTGGTTTATAAATTATTATTGCGGAATATACTAGATGGCAACCGTGTGCTACGCATAGAAAAACTCATACGACAGTAAACACTTCCATGCCAACAATTAACCTTGACAAAAGTTGTCTTATTGGCAGGGAACACCATTGTCACGTGTCATAGCGCAGCTACGGTGGATATGCGTATCCTTCTGCAATGTTACACGTACACTTGGCGAGGCTCCGCTTTTAGCAGCTGCCTAATCTGAATTATTATAAAAACTTATTTGTGTGAGCCTACAGTGTCATTGACAGCTTTCATTTTGAACTATTGCAGTTGATAATGTGGCATCAAACAAAATGCATCTGGCCGCGAATTCGAACGGGCCGCTACGCGTGGCCATGCCGAGCATTCTACCACTTGAACCACGATGCTGCTGTTGGTTTAGTAATTCCTTTTATTTAGTTGATATTATCGATATATGAACCAATTTTTGTGTTGAAATATTTAGTTGATAATGAATCAAAACAGCATCGGTCCGCCCGGAATCGAACCCGGGTCCGCCCGCGTGGCAGGCGAGCATTCTACCACTGAACCACCGATGCTGGCTGTTGTTTTAGTAATTCCTTATATTTAGTGAAATAGCGATATATGAACCAATTTTTGTTGAAATATTCAGTTGATAAAATGATCCAAAACATTGCAATCGGCCGGGATAGTCGAACCGGTGCCGCCGCGTGGCAGGGCGGAGCATTCCTACCACTGAACCATAGCGCGATGCTGGCTTGTTGTTTTAGTATTCCTTATATTTAGTGAAATATAGCCGATATTATTGAACCAATTTTTGTTGAAATATTCAGCTTGTAATTGAATCAAAACATGTCAGTCGACCGCCGGAATCGAACCCGGTCCGCGCCCGCGTGGCAGCGTCGAGGATTCTTACACTGAACACCGATGCTGCGCTGTTTGTTTTAGTAATTCATTTTATTAGTGTGAGAATAGTCGATATATGAACCAATTTTTTGAGTTGAATATTCAGTTGATAAATGAATCAAAACATGCACTGCGCGGGGAATATGCGAACCCTGGGTCGCGCCGCGCTGGTCAAAGTATTTGCGAGCATTTTACTACTGAAGCCACGTGCTGGCTGTAGTTTTAATAATTCCTTATATTTAGCTGAAATAGCGATATATGAAACAGATTTGTTGTTGAAATATTTCAGTGATAATGAAATCAAAATCTGCATCTGGCGGGAACTCCGAGACCGTGGCCGCCCGCCCGTGGCAGGCGAGCGATTCTACTACTGAACACCCTGTCTTTGGCTTGTCTGACAATGTCTGGCTGTTTTTTTAGTAATTCCTTATATTTCGTGAAATAATTTCGGCTATATAACACAATCTGTTTGGTAGAAAATATTCATGTTGTGATAATGCATCAAAACATGCATCGGCCCGGGTAATCGACAACCGGGTCGCCGCGTGAGCAGGCGAGCATTCTACCACTGAAACCACCCGATTGCTGTGCTCAGTTGCGCTGTTTGAGCAATTCCTTATATTCCATTTTAGAAATATATAAAAACAATTTTTTCTGAGACGATCAGTTGATTAAGCCATCAATAACATGCATCGGTCGTCTGGGAAATCGAACCCGGGCCGCTTCTCTCGCGTGGCAGGCGAGTCACGATTTTCTTACCACTTGAACCCACCAATGCTGGCGTGTTTGTTTTAGCAATTCCTTATATTCTGTTTATAATACCGATATATAAACAAATTTTGTGTTCGAATATTCAATTCGCATAATGCATCAAAATCTGCATTCGGCGGGGTCAATCTGAACCCGGGCCGCCCGCGTGGCAGGCGAGCATTCTACCACTGAACCACCGATGCTGGCTGTTGTTTTAGCAATTCCTTATATTCTGTTAAATACCGATATATAAACAAATTTTTGTTGGAATATTCAGTTGATAATGCATCAAAATATGCATCGGCCGGGAATCGGACCCGGGCCGCCCCCGTGGCAGTCTACCACTGAAACACCGATGCTGGCTGTTGTTTTAGCAATTCCTTACATTCAGTGAAATATTGATATATAAACTGATTTTTGTCTAAATATTCAGTTGATAATGCATCAAAATATGCATCGGCCAGGAATCGAACCCGGGCCGCCCGCGTGGCAGTCTACCACTGAACCGCCGATGCCTACTTTTTGGTGTAAATTCTGCTGTTCGTATTTTGCAGGTTCAAATTTCTACGACTCGCTACATTGGGCCTCTGCGAAGCATATACAACTTTTATGCAGATCTTGGTTCGCCACCCAGTGACAATTCGAGAACATCTATAATGACAAAAATGCAGCTATGGAGACTGCTGTTAGACTGTAGAGTGCACCACAAGCATTTAAGCCTCGCGAGGATAGACAAGTTGATTAGTACGTAGTTTACATAACATGTTACCTGCCATTTCAATACTAGTGTTGTGTATCCACCCTGTGAACGCTATGGCATACTTCATCTGGTAATAACATCATATACAGCACACACACACACACACACACACACACACACACACACACACACACACACACACACACACACGCACACACACATATATATTCTTGAATCACATCACATGAAACAAGGTTCCATGCCTATACAGGTTATATTTCTTGCACAATTCCTCTAGGTACACCAACAGGTGGCAGTGGAGATAGGGAACGTCCTTCTGGAACTGTGCTATTCCGACAATTACTAACGTCTCTCGTAATCCTAGCATTTCATTTACTTCATGATGAACTCGCCGAGTAAGCTCTTTCTATTTATTTTTGTGTGATTCAAACTATTTCGACTTGTCAGTCTAAATGGGGAGTAGTTCAACTGAGAATGCACGATAGAATTATTATCAACATTATGCATTCATTGCGTAACACACAAATATATTCATACATAATGTAAGTAAATGTATTTTCATAACATGTCATCCAATTTCTGATTCTTATTATTTTACATTGTAGAGGTATAGCTAGCGAATGCTCTCCCGATGAAATGCTTTCCAAATGCATGGAGAAGTTATTGCAAGACCACTTGTTGCCATATGCATGCTGTGTTCAGGGTCAGTTTTACACAGATCCTGGGTGTCAGGTAATTGTTGCCAAATACATAACAAGGCTCTACAACGTTTACGCTGCACTGTGCTCTGACATGCAGAGAAGAAGTGGATATGTGGATGCACTGGCAACAGCAAGAAGTTTTATGCAATGGCTGCAGGTTTGGCCCATTTCTGGGTGATACTCCATTAGGAGTGTTCCCAACTTTAATGTCATTAATGGTTAGGGTTATGTTATAGGTTAGGTTAGGGTTAGGGTTAGGATTATCAATCATTAATCTGATCATTAATCATTAATCATTAATGATATCAAAGTTGGAAACACTCCTAATGGAGCGTTAGCCCTATTTCTTATAAAACTTCTTATTTATATTGACTTCTTATTAATTATAGGAACAACAGATATATATATCTATATTCATTCCCGTATGTAATGTGTCCAACTACATATTTTTATGAGCCGTATCTAGACTACTTTCTTGTGGAGGTGGTTTTTTTAAAGATTTTAATTGATGGGCGTGTTGTTTTCTTTTGTAGAAGCTAGGCATTCTGCATCAGTTTCTGACTGCCAATAGAGTTCTAGAGATTCTTTCAGTAGGAGATCCAGCTGTTGGCACTGCTGGATCTTACAACATAGAACGAGAGGTAATCCCTTCATTTTAGTCAAGAGCGTTTACATCAAATTTACGGCAACCCCGCTTTTGACAGGAGAGATCAAACATATACGTATTCTATATACCATTACTATGGCTGAGAGGGTCTATGTCCCCCGGGGTACTGCCGGAACGTACCCTGGGTACGGTCCGGTATACCGGAACGTACCCTGGTACTATCTAATATGCCGGACCGTACCTCGCCTACTCCACTAACGAGTCTATAAGGAGTCGCCTACGCCTACTCCCTAACCCTAACCCTAACCCTAACCCCAACCCTAACCCTAACCCTAACCATACCAAATAATGACCAGGGTACGTTCCGGTATACTGGACCGTACCCAGGGTACGTTCCGGCAGTACCCTGGGGGACATAGACCCTATGAGCATTACTATGCATAATGAGTATCAGGAGTGGATAAAAACAATTGGTATATAATAATACATAAAAGATCCTAAGTATGATGCATGCATGATTGTGTTTGTTCCTGTATTGCACTTGCATATGCTAAAACAAAAACCCTAGTATATGTCACAACTAAGGAGAATATAAAACTACCATGCCTGACTATGCAGATGCTATTTTAGCAATACAAGGCAAGTTCAGAGATTGTCAGTCAACATGCATATCTGGTGATATCAGTGATGTCTTGATTGACCGTACCATGCACACAGATGACGTTCCTTGACTTTGTGGAGGCAATTCTTCTCTGCGCTGAGGAGTGCGGCAGCACCATAGATGTGGCAGAGTCCCCGTCTAACGGCGAATCACAGCAGCATCTACCTAATCCAACATCTACCGACAACACAGTGCGGAACATTGCAAACGAATGCGGAACGATCGTGGAAGGAATTAACGAGGAGGTTAGTTTGAGACTTATACCTCTAGTGTGAGAAGTAGTGGGTGCCACTGTCAGCATGGCCATGTATCTGTGTTATTCATTAAAAAGTTACTGCACTGTATAGCTTATAGCTCACACTGCCTAAAACAATAACCAGTGCTCTTCTGACCTCTAGCACTGTGGGTTGTAGGGTATACTGTAACCACCTATATATGTAGATGTGTGAATTACGTGTGAATCTATGTTATATTAACGTAATTCCTTATTTCCTATTCAAATAATTTTCGATTAAATGGTGAGAACAGGGACAATAATCACAGACAGTCACATATCTAGGTTTCTGACACTGAGGACGATTCTCATAACGCCACACAAAAGTCATTATCACTACGAGGCAAATCGGCCGACGATTTGGGTGACAGCTCGTCAGCGGTGGACTGCCAGGTATTACCATGAAACGTTTGAAGTTATATGTTTGTTTAACGTTTTGCTTTAATTTCACATTACTTATATTTTGTAGAAAACGTTCTCATACACGTTCTTTTCCTTCCAAGCCAAGTTTAATCATAATATTAAGAAGGCCTAATTGTAAATGATGACATATTATGCTTGCATGATTCAATAATTATTTCAAAATTAGTAAAATATTAGAAACACAAGTCAACACTCAAGCTGATAATCAAACAATGAAACACGTCTTCATCACTAACATTCAGTAAACTGCATTTTAGTCATAGTGATTCCTGTTATAGTTGAGCTGTTGATGTTGCAGGAAAAATGTGATACAGACCAACATTCACCAACTGAGGAGACTGATGGAAAACCAGATATAGACGAGCAAACAGGTTAACATTCAGTCAGCTCAAATCTATTTAATGCAGATATCACACAGGAGAAAGACCAGCTGAATGTTTTGTGATGCGGAAATAATGCACGACCCCTTCATATTTTACTATTAATTTCAAACTTGATTGTACCTTTCTGTAAACTTAACCGAGATCAGAAAAAGTAATGCTCACTAGAGGTGGCATCAGTGTCACCCGAGCATCTACATTCTGTTTAGTATTTGTTTGTATGTGTCGAGTGTGTGCTAGCTTCATCAGAACTACATGACAACCCAGATAACATGCTGACGTTGGGCCAACGTTGGCCCAACTGCTGTGTGGGCCAACGGATTTTTGCTCAGCACGCCAACGTTGGCCCAACGTCATGCAGCCAACCATTTTCAAGTAGCATCATGCCAACCATATGCCAACGTTGGCCCAACGTCATGCAGCCAACCACTTGCCAAACGTGACCATGTCAACCACATGCCAACCATGACCATGCCAACGTTGGCCAAACGTTGGCCTAACGTCATATATTGCCAACCGTGACCGTGCCAACCAAATGCCAACGTTGGCCCAACGTAAGCATGTTATCTGGGAAGTTATTAATGCCAAACCACATGAAAGTTATTATTTCACGCCGCGGGTAGGTGATGAGTACGTCCTGACGCCGGACGATGAGACATTGATCAGTCTAGTGCAAGCGGAGCTGTCAGGCTTCATCGAGCGTGTGCTGCTGCCTAGAGCAGAGACATGGGCGGAGGTGACACGACAACTAGCCAGGGAGCAGTCTGTGCGCGCGAGCGAAGCGTAGCTGCGTCTGCCATCGCATTGGCGTTACTCTTGGTCAGATTAGTTGCTACCACATTCACTTGCGATACCAATATACCTTAAGTGTCAAATCCCTAGGAGAAATGAATGTAAATATGAGATTTGCATTATGGTGAAGGCCCTGGTAATTTCACCTGTAAGTGTGTTACCCTTATATATATATCTACGCTATACCACGTAATGTTAAGTGGACGCATATAAATTTATGCTATTTTTTATACCTGGCTTTCATAGAGTTCCAGTGAGTGTATTTTGAAAACATAAGTGGCATTGTTCAGGTGTAATTGTGAAACCAAACCGAGCTAAGGAAACTTGGTTCATAAAGAAAGTAGAAGTTACTACAGTTGAAGTTCTCTGTTTGCTTTTTATTTTGGGTGTGGTTTGCATTCAGTCATTAAGGAGGGCCTATAAATACCACACTTGCGTAGCATTTTATGTGCTTCAACAGACAAAACAAGCTTCAGTTTAAAAAGACATTCCTTCAGCTACGGTCTGCTCTCCTCTCCCAACATCTTATATGAGGTTATTAGGCACCACTACCATGACTACAGCAGCATTTACAAGCATTGCCCAGAACAACACCAACAGCCTGGATGGTGTCATGCGGAAGGATCCTGTGGAGGGCATAGGCAGGTCCAGTAATCCGGCTTCCTAGTCGACGGCATTCTGGGAGAAGCTAGCCTTCACCTCCTGCCGGGCAGTGCAAGTAGCTTAACAGGCACATACAACGACACCGCTGTGAGAGGTAGCGCGGCAGACACAGCCTACCATTGTAGCATACAGAACCCGCTCTCCACTGACGTCTGATCGTGGCCGGCATGGCGTGGCTGACACCGATCCCATGAGCATGTGGCTTTCTGCCTTCAACTTGATCCCTGAAGCCTGACGTTTCTGACTGACGGCGACCTCATTGCTGTCAACAAAGGTGTTGCTAAGAGCGATGCTGGCTCTGCAGGCAGTGTGGGAGCTGGACTAGCTCTCCCCGTGTAGCCCCTTCCCTCTCACTACAGGAGAAGCTTCACTCCCCTGTAGCGGGAGCGAAGGGGGTATACACAGGTAAAACTAGAGTTGTAGATGGTGCTGCTACGGCTGAGACCATTACCACAACACTTTACACAATATCTGGGGGGTAGCGATTTAGCGCACGCCTGCATGGCCAAGTCTGGCTTAGCTCTAGTACTATAGCCCGCGCAGCAACTGTACGCGGGCTATAGTACTAGAGCTATGGTCCAATTTTGCAGTTGGTACAGGGCAGTGGCGTACGCAGGATTTACGAACGGGGTTGTTAGGAGCACGCGAAGGGGGGGTCTGGATGTCCCCAAGAAATTTTTTGAAATTAGCACCCCTTAGCTGCGTTTTCTGCGCGAGCATGGGGGGTCCGGACCCCCCCCCCCCCCCCCTGGAAACTGTAGACTCTGATACCGTGTGCGCTTGCACTGACTGGTGGGGTCCCCGGGGTAGATTCATGATTCATCAAGCTGCGTACGCAAAATATTTTGCGTAAATCTTGTGTGCGTACGCAATCGACGTTGCTTAAAGGCCCCGTCACACCATAGCGTATGCTGAAATCTATGAGTTGCGTGTAAAAAATATTTTTATACGCACCAAA